TAACACATGTACTTAGAAACTTGAACATTTCAGCATGCATTTTCATGTGACTCATGCACTTAGAAACTTGCACTCTACATGCCTACACTTGCATGCATGCTTGACAACACCACACTCTAACATAAGATATATTTTCGCTACACTCTGCATGAATGACAACACTACACTAATGTTTTTTTTACCTCACATGCATGACAAGACTAAACCTGCACGCTTCCCTTCATCCATGTCACATGCATGCTTGACAACACTCTGCATGCATGACAACACCACAACATGCATTTTCATGTGACTCATGTACTTAGAAACTTGAACTCTACATGTCTACGCTTGCATGCATGCTTGACAACAACACAATATTCTCATCACATTTGAGGATTATAAATAGATGTTCATCAACTCTCAAACTCTTCTCATCCCATTACAAGCTCTACTCCTCATACGTTCTACAAATTCTTCTTGTCACACTGTAAACTTCACTCAGAAAACTTCACCCAACAAACTTCACGAAGCAAACTTAACTCACAATGTCTCTACTCACAATGGGCAACAATCACAGAGGCACAATTGAGAACATCACGGAGCTTGTAAGTATTTTTCTTTTTGTTGTTGATATTTACGAAATTTAATTTTCCTTTAAAACTAATGGCATTTAAATTCTTTTGCAGGATGTATCAAGGTTTCGCTGTCGTGTGCATGACTACATACCACACGACCCTTTAATAGAGGGATACCTTGAAGCATGTGGGTTCAGTGATTTGATGAAAATCAAATCGTACTCACTGGATCCCAAATTTATTCTAACGTTGTTAGAATGCTGGAGACCAGAAACACACACATTTCACCTACCTCTCGGTGAGTGTACCGTAACTTTACAGGATGTATACATATTAATTGGCCTACAGATCAACGGTAAGACCGTCAACGACAAAGTTGGTGTTAATGACCAACTTTGTGAAGATTTACTAGGCGCCCCTCTATGTGTCGACACACGTCAACCAGAACGTGAGGGTCGACCAAGGGGGCAAGGTATTAATTTGAAATACCTCATACAACACTACAATAGTATCGTGTTAAATGAGGAGTCCACCGAGTATGAGAAGATACTTAAAACTCGGTGCTATATTATGATATTGTTTGGTCATTTTTTATTTCCAGACAGTATTGGAAATACTGTAAATATTATGTATTTACCGTTGTTGCATAACATTAACAAAATGTGCACATATAGTTGAGGAATAACTGTCCTCGCCCATCTATATAGTGCATTATGTAAAAATGCCAAAAAAAATTCTTGTACTTTTTATGGCTGCGCTTATCTCCTTCAAGTGTGGGGTTGGTCTAGGATGTCAACACTTGCTCCAGTCAACCGTGATCCATTCACATTCCCATACGCTAACAAGTAAGCTTATTTTTAAGACGAATTTACAACCGAAGTTTCTTTGTAACTTAATTATATGTACGATGTGTCTTAGTGTCTAATTTATTTGTGTTTCTTTTTTTTAGGCGGTCTGTTTCGGGGATGAATTACCAAAGATGTCCCAGGAACTCCATAGTCGTGTACCGTAACCTTATTGAACATAGTGGGCCAGATGATGTAATTTATCTACCTTTACTTTTTCTAATTGATAAACACAAACTTGTATTTCTCATTGCATATATTGTTAATGTAGTTTGTCTGGATGCCGTACGAGGGTCTCGACCACCAGCGCAACACCGATGATGCTGCCATGTGGACATCTAAAACACCTATCATTAGGTTCACTACAGTGGAGATGCACTAAAGTGACCGGGTGAAACTATAGTTCGGGATGCATCAGGATATTTCAGATGCTCCGACGTCATTGGGACATTGGCATCATCTACGGGTGGATACACAATGGAGTGTTGGTCATTGGAAGGATTTTGCGAAAGAGGTGTGTTTGCATTGGAAGAACTGACGTCAACACATCTTAACCGACCTTATTGCGGAAGGGGCTAGGCCAAGTTATCAATATATGATTTGGTTTAGGTCGGTTACAACCTCACAACCATTTCTGTCTAAGCCGACATATTTGTTTGACCCGAGACAACGTGCGTCTTCCTCGACTCCACATCAGCAACCCAATGCCCAACATCAAACACCATCTTATAGGCAACATTCAACTATGTCCACCCAAACAATCTTCCAAAACCGTAACCCATACATGCCACCAACCCAATCACAACAACAAGAGCCTTACCTATACCGTCAGCGTTCTGAAACCGACACCACTTCTGCATATAGCCCTGATACATCTTTTGACCCTACCCTATCCACCTATAGCCCAGATAACTCTTTTGAACCCACACCATACAGTCAATCTTCCTACCAACAAAATACCTATCCACTTTTTGAATACCAAACCCCACAACAACCAATACATCGTTTTCAAACCAATTCGATGTACCAATTCGGACAACCATATTGTCCATACTCCACCCAACCTCCCCGAAAAAACTACGAAAACATGAGTATTGAACTTAATTACGAAAGCGCCGTTGATAGTGGCCCTCCTGGCTATTGAGGTCAAATGCTTCAAAATTTATCTGATACGCCGAGGCCATCCGAACAAATACCTCTTCCACAGGTCAACACGCAAAGGGCAAATACACCTCAACAACCTCGTGGTAGACCTTTACGCCGTGCACATCCTCCACAATGTGGTACCGGTAGTCGTTTAGATAGAGCCAGCCATTATTTTTTTTTATCTGTTGTAATTTTTATTATATTATAAATTATTATATTTTACTATTTTTTTCATTTATATATATATATATATATATATATATATATATATATATATATATATATATATATATATATATATATATATATATTTTACATTATTTAAATTACAAATATTATTTTAATAATTTTATAAAACTAAAATTAAAATCTAAAAAAAAAATAAAACCTAAAAATCAAAGGAAAAAAAACAAAAAGAAAAACCCTACAAAAGGGAGTCGTCATATGAAATGATGCATCCTCTGTAGGGTAGAGTCGGAAAATTGCATCCTAACGTCATATGGAATGACGACTCAGATCAAGTAACCTTGATCATCCATTTTATACGACGACCCAACGTAGAAAGATAATCAATTTTTATATATTTTTTAAATTTTATGTTTATTTTGTATTTTAATTAAAAAATAAGGTTACTTTAAAAAGAAATTCTCATGTAGAGAAATGCAGCGGATCTATTTTTTTGACAATTGTTTTTCGGTTGGCAAATTCATGCAAGGATTATGTCGTTGGAGATGGTCTTAGGGTTCATTGAATACATATTTTCTTCCTTTTAAGGCGGAAAAAATATTCTAACTTTCAACAAATCTCATCAGTTTGATTAATCAAATGGACTTAAGACACGCGTCCATTTTTAAAATGAAATCTGCGGCTTGCCATCTCATCGACACCGACACGTGTGACAAAGTGTGATAACATTATTTTACCATATTATATTTTGTATATAGAAAAGATATAAAATTAACATAAAACACTAAATATAAATATGTATGAGAAAACTATGTAATTTTTTTTGAAAAAAATCCAGTAATACAACTAATTAATCAAATTGAATATATTTTTTAAAATCATAATTATTTATATTATGTATCTACATGTGTTATAAGTTAAATAAGAATATTATATATAAATGAAAAAAATTATCTCTTAAAAAAATTATATTTATGCTGTTTAAAAAGTTTAAATAAATATTCATATGTTTATAAAAAAAAATAATGATGTTGTTAAATTATTTATTAAATATTTTTTAATTTAATTTTTGTTTGTTTAATATTTTAAATTATGTTATATAAAGATAAAGTAAAATTTTATTTTTTGTATTATTCAATAAGGAGCCAAATGAAATAAGTTTTTGAATTTATGTATTCTACCTTATTATTACATTAAAGGCCCGGTTATTTTTCTTTTTTTATAAAATGATTTTTACAGTTAAAATAATTTTGTGTAATAAAATTAAAAAAAAAAACTTTTTTAAAAGCTTCAAATAAAAATTTAGTTTGAATAATTATTTTAGATATTTTATTGTTTTATTGAATTTTTTTAAAATTTCAGAATTTCAAGCTACTTTAAATATTTTTTCATATTTTTTTTTGAAATACAATTTTTTTGATTTCAACCATGTTTTGATCTTTGTATGTTTATGTTATAAAATATCAAAATTAGTCTTTTAATTTAAAAATAAAATTATAATATTTTTAAAAATAGTTTTATAAAATACTATTTTAAAAGAAAAAAATCCATTTTTTAAAACTGAAACAAACCACCCTAAAAATATTAAATTAAAACATGAGATATATTTTTTGTTTTGTCTTTCATCATATTTATCAAATAGACACCTAAACTTTAAAAGTATGGTTATGAAAGAAATACGACTTTCAGCGTATACTTGTCTTTAGAAAAAAGAGCATAAAATTCTTGCAAAAAAAGTAATTATTCTCGATGTATGTAAAATAATTCCTTGAACATTTATTAAAGTAGTAGAAATTATGTCAAGAAAAATAAATGTGGTGAAAGTGCTTCAAAACAAGAATGAATGTGATATGTGCAATTTGTCATCTTCATACAAATATTATTTAAAATTTTTGACAATTAAAACTTGGCATAAGATATGTTGGTTCTAAACTTTCATGAAAAAATGTTCGATAACAGGGTTACAAATAGTCACAGCATGAGCATTATGAATTTTGAGCATGAATAAGAAGTACATGCCCAAAGTAAAGATCAAATTGATACTACCCTAACTAATTGTTTCAAGTAGTTTCTCCTAACCTATATCCATGGCAAACATTATGAACTCTAAAAAAACGAGTAATCAACAATTCGATGTATACATAAAGAAAGGAAGAATAAGGTTACCAAGACTTGCCCCCTTCAAAATTTCATGAATTATCTTCTCTTAATTCGGGTGGTCTTCCACATGCTTTATTACCTCATTCTCAGCTAAGTTAGTATTTTGTTATATATCTTGCTCGTTGGGAGTTTTGTGTTTGCTTTCCCACGGCTTAACTGAGAGAATCAGATCAAATTGTTTTTGTTGTTGTTCCTACATGAGAATGTAAGGATTAAAAAAAAAATAACATTTACAAGAATACTTCATATAGCATTTTATGGAGGGATAATAACTACCTGTATTGTTAGTAAAACATTTTGAAGTTCATGAATCTCCTTCTCCAAATTTTCATATTGCACCGCTATAGCTCTTGTAGCCTTAGAGTTCTTCTGTGCTATAGCTGCAGACTTCAAGATATCCATTATGTTAAATTACCATTGTTTGAATTTCAGAATTCAGAACACAACAAAAACATAAAGATTATTAATACCTGAGTGATGGGTTCCTTAGTAACCAGAAACCTTTTCCCAAATTTCTCAATATGCCTTGACAAAATCCTAATAACTCTCACCGTCTTCCTCAAATCTTCCTCTAATTTCTCAATCCTCTCCATCAATCCACCTTTCATATTCTCTCTACTGATCATCTTCCATTGCCGCCTCCGCAACATCGCCCCAGCTGCAACACCACCTACCAGTATCAAAATCCCCCACACGGCATTAACTCTGTTACCACTCACCGCCATCAACCAATTCTTCGATCCACTTACCGCTATAGCAACCGAGAAAATCGCTGATGAAACCAGGCAGGATAGCTCCATAGCCGATAGGAGAGAGTCGAAGTTTTGATCACTGATTACTACGCGTTTCTGGAAGTTGGATTCGGGTTGAAGGACTTCGAGATGAACCTGGTCGGTACATCGGATCGTGAAGGATCCGAAGGTCTGAAGTCGGGAGGAGTTGAATACCGGAGTTTGGAAGTATGTGGCGGGAGCAATGGTGGTGGGTGTGGTGAAGCAGAGAGAATGTGGGAGGAGATGCGTCATTGTTGAAAACTATTTGGTGTTGGAGTTGGAGTTAGTTGTGGTAGGTTTTACAACATTTATTTGTAGATTTTGTAAGGGATAGGTTAGTTGTTTGTTGGCTTGGGTAGCTCGAAGAAACAATGGCGATGAAAAATAAGATGTACACGAGATTGGGACTTACATTCAACAATGAATCGTTGACTTGTTTTCAACAATGCTGATTAGCTAGTTTAGTTTAAGAAAATTATAAAAAAATGTGAGTTTTATTGCTTAAAGATATTGTTTCATTCAAAATCGGTAGAGCTAAATAATGCAACTCATAAGTAAAATTTAAGGATTGACAAATTTTGGTAAGAGTACATTGGTGTTAGTTATCTTGTGGGTGACCCTAAAACTAACAACTTCATCATCACTTTAAACTATCAACTTCATCATCACTTCATTATCTTGTGGGTTAAAAAAAAAAGTTTGTTTTGAGATATTATGTTTTTCCTATCCAAGAATGAGCCTCTCTCTATAACTTGTAGTCATTTCGTCTCATCTTTATCTAGTAATGGAGTGGAAGAGAGGAGCTAGGAAAGGAATTAAAAAGCAGGTGAACAACAATGGGATATGTGTCCAATAGGTAGGAAGATTATCAACGATGGAGGGGAAGAGTTTACTTCGATTTATTTTTCTAAGATTCCAAACGGTGTCAAGGCAAATGAGCTTTTCAATTTATTTGGGAACTTCGGCAACCTTAAAGAAGTAGGTTGCTTGTTGTCAAGTTTGATAATATCTTGATAAATAATGTTAAGATCCATGCTAATATCCCCAAATCTAGTAGAATAGAGAACACTCTTAAAGGTGGAGCTTCAAGGGTTAACTATAGGTCGCGTAATTTGGATATGGAAGGAAGCTCACATAGGAAGAATGGGTATTTGGGAGCAAAAATGGGAAAGAGATTGTTTGCAGAGGTGGTGAATGGTAGAAACAAGTCTGATTCTTTGCCCCCAGAAGACTCCTATCCATTTGAAGTTTCAAACTAAAGATTCTGATTTGGTAAAGATTTAGAAAGGCTTTTGTGGGGGTCGTGATCAACCCTGGCATGATCTATAACATCCAAACCAGCTTTGAGATCGAGGGATATTTCTCTATTTAGGCTACACCTCTAGGATTGAATTTGTGTATTCTGGTAGAATGTGAAAGTGGTGGGATCAGAGACATCATCAGGGAAGCAGAATCTTGGTGGAGACGGTGGTTCTCAGAGATCCGAGAGTAGAGGGAAAAAGATATAGATAGGGAACATGTTATGTGGCTTAGATGTTCCGGCATCCCATGTCATGCTTGGAATTTCTCTTTTTTTGAATTGTTAGTCAAAACAGTTGGAAAATATATTTGTGTAGATGAAAACACATCGAAGGGGGAATGCATAGATGTTGCAAGATTCATGGTCCGAACAAGTTGTGTTGTTGTGCTTAATGAAACGATTAAAGTTTTGATTAATGGTGAAATTTTCAGCATTAAGATGACTGAAGATCATCATGGTCCTCTTTGATTTTCTATTCATGATCAAAATAGAAAGGAGGTTGATTGGTGTTCTTTATCTGAGTTGGGAAGTGTTTGGAGCAAGTTCAATTTGGAGGAGGAAGAGGACTGGAACTAGATATCGATCCTCGTGAGTAATGACAAAGGGGGTGAATCTAGCCCTTTTTCCTGGCAGAGTAGCGTCCGATGTGACGTTAGCGTTGGAAAAAGGAAGTTTGGAGAGATCAAGGCAGGAAGGATTTCATGAAGTGAAAAATAAAGAGGATTATATGTATAGGGAATCAGACTTTGACGCGGCGAAGGTGGCTTCAACAGGGAAAAAGCTGTTAGTTGGGTGTTTGATTGTAACGTTCCTGGGAACTTGGAAAATAATGATGTTTTGTCTCATGTATCTTCATTTAAGTTTGATGAGGTCATGAGTAGAGGGAGATGGAAAAAAAGAGAATTTGAAGAAACTTAAACTTAGAAAAATTGAAGAAGTTTGTGGGCCTGTGTGTAGAAAATTGTCTAAGCCCAAAAAAAGAGTTTTGGACCTTGTTGACACTATCCTTTTTGTTGGACGACCCAATTAAGTCCTTTTCATAATCATCTTATTTTGATTCTTTAAAGAATAGTAGTTCTCGTGGTGCTATGCCTTCTTCGTTCCATAGTAACCTAGGGCTAGTTCCTTCGGAGAGTGTAGATAATTACTCAGTAGGTACTATTTTGTGTTGTGGTCCCATTTCAGACTATGATGTTTGTTTGTGCAACTTTAAATTTTGGGATAATTTAGAATCGAAGGTTGGGGATAAGGTGTGGAGTGCCATAACAAACCTCGAAGTGGTTATGAAGGATAAGAAGAGGGATTACTCGAAGAAAATAACGAATATGAAGGCTATAGATAATGGCAGATTCAATGGAAAGAAGGCGCTTAAAATAGATGAACTATGATTATTGGATCTTTAAATATTTGTGGAGGAGGTAACTATTCCAAAAGAAAGAGAATCAACAACATCATTATTGCAGGTAAAGATGTAATCTTTTTTATTCGGGTATCTAAATTGAGGGTGGTTGAGTCTTCTATAGTGAGGAGTTTTTTGGGAAACCAGGAGGTGGAGTGGTCTAGTAACAATGCCACGGGTCATTCCGGTGGAATTATTACTATGTGGAATTCAGAAACTACTATCCCTATTTTTCTTTCAAAGGATAAGGATTCCTAGGGTTGAAATTATCTTGGAAGAATGAAGTTTATTATGTTGTTAACGTATACTATGGGTGTTGTATTAGATTGAAAAGAGGAAATTGTGGAATAATTTACTGATTATTAAGAGAAGATGACAGACGGGTCATGGACTTTGGGAGGAGATTTCAATGCAGTATCATATTCTTCTGAAAGAAAGAGCATTTCTCATGATAATAGAAAATCTGAGAAAATGGAATTCAATGTCTTCATCAATGAAAAGGTTTTGGTTGATCTCCCGTGTAGTGGTAACTATTTTACCTGGTACAGTGAGGATGCCAATTCAATGAGTAGGATTGACAGATTCTTGCTAGTTGATTCTATTATTGATAGACGAGGTGTTGTTGGCCAAGTTATAGGGAAGAGGGACATATTCGATCACTGTCGGATTTGGTTGAGGATTAGTTCTCTCAATTGGGAGCCTAAACCCTTTATAACTAACGATTGCTGGTTTGAGAATAAATAGTTCTTAAAGTTTGTTGAAAAGGAATGGAAAATGTTTAAAGTGGAGGGAATAAGTGATTACATTATCAAGGAAAAGTCCAAACTGCTGAAGGGAAGCCTTAGAAGATGAAACAAAGACTCATTCAGATGGATTGATCTTAAAGTTGAAGAGGAAGTGGATACCATCAACGAAATTGATAATCAATTATTTCTCGATGATGGGAGCAGTGTCATGGAGTTGATTGAAAGGAGATCAAAAGCTAGCAAGACCTTGTGGAGGCACCTTAATATCAAAATAACATGCTGCTCTAAAAGTCCAGGGGAAGTGGAATAGAGAAAGATACATTAATTCTAAATATTTTAATAATCCGATCAAGGTAAAATCGAGGAGAAAGTATATAGGAGAGGTTAAAATGGAAAATGGAACGGTGGAATTAGTGGTCGAAGTTAAGGAAGAAGTTATAAGTTTCTTCAAAAGCAAGTTCAATGAAATGAATGCGAATAGACCCTCATTGGAAGGCTGTTATTTCAAATCTTGAATAGAGGCAGATGTTATTATTTTGAAGACCCCTTTCTCTGAGGATGAAATGAAGGTGGTTGTGTAGAGCTGTAACAGAGCTAAAATCTCGGGGCCTGAAGGTTTTAACTTTGTTTTCATCAAGAAATGTTGTTTTATTTTGAAATATGATATTATCCCTTTTGTGTAGGACCTTCATGTTAATTCGTTCCTTCATAAAGCAGTTACTTCTTCTTTTCTCACTCTTATTCCTAAGGTGGCTCATCCCACTAAGTTCGGTGAATATAGGCTTATCTATTAGGTCAATATCTTATATAAAATTATAGCTAAATTGTTGGCTGCAAGGTTGAAAAAGGTCATTGGTGGTATCATCTCTCACTGTCAAACTGCCTTCGTTCCTGGTAGGCTTCTGCTATATGGAGTTTTGATTGCTAATGAAATTGTGGATAAAGCTATAAGGGATAAAAAGGAATGCATTTTGTTCAAAGTAGATTTTGAAAAAGCGTATGATTGCGTCAATTGGAAGTTCTTACGTGAAATCATGATTAAAATGGGCTTCAGAAGAACTCGGATGAGATGTGTAACACCCCAAATTTTATTGGAATATTTATTTAATTTATTTAAATAAGAATATTTGCATTTTGGTGATTTTCGGTGGTTATTGTGGAATGTTGAGAATTAATGGAATTTGAGTTATTTATTTAAATAATGGTATATAATATGAATATATTAGTATTATTATTAATTTAAATAAATATAAGTTAACTAAGGGCAAATTGGACACCTGAGGGGAGTTAGTGATGGTAATATTGGAAAAGCCCAATTTTGAGGCCCAAGGCTAGGTTTAACAAAAAGGAAATTGTGATGGGATTAGGATTCATTTTGTTAGACTGTGAAAAGAATTGAGACCAGAGCTCTAAGGAGGAAGAATTGAGGCAAAAGTTTCAAAAGGTTTTCTGAAAAATTTGAGAAGGCTTAGAGTCGGCAATTAAGGTATGGGGAGTATTGTCTTCATTGTTTTCAATGTATAATTTCAATGTATTTAAAGTCGATTTAAGGGTTTAAGGGTTTTAAGGCTGATTATGAGAAAAAGGGAATTTGACCTTCGTGGCCTAAATCTATTATTGAGATTTTAACCGTAGGGATTTATTTAGGTAAAAGGAAAATTAGGCCTTCATGGCCAAAACTCTAATTTGACATTTGTTTAACCCTATAGGGATATTAGATAGTGAGTAATTCTAATGAGTATGGTGTAATTGTAAGGAAATTTGGGAATTAGGTCGTGAATATGATATGAGATTGGCCTAATAAACA